CGCCCGCTCAAAAAAAAAATCGTTCAACCCGTCAAGCGGGTCGGGTTTGCGGGTTGGGTCAAAAAAAAGTCAGTCACCAACATCTCTGGTATACACTTAGCTTTCGCAAGCAAAGGGTAGTAAAGTGTATAGATTGACGTATGTCATATAATCTAGAAAAAATAAACTTGTTCATTTTTATATCTGTTCAGAAATATAAAACAAATGTATAAGATTAAATAAACAATACATATACATCCAAGTATTACTTAATCTGACATTAGTAAAAACATATTTGCGAAAAAATAGTACATATGAACATTATACTTTAGCAAAAATCAATCAAAATTTTGATCTTTATCTTCTTCATGATGCATATCCACATGATCATCACAGAACCATATTGAATCAATATTTATACCAAATTTGATTCTACAATAATTATCTTCATTAGAACTTCTAATGAAGATAATGATGAACCATGATCTGTTACTGAAACTTCATTTTTACTAAACAATTCAATTAATGTTACTTAAATTTCACTCATCTGAAACAAAAAGAATAAAAAAAATTCATTATTGATGTAATGAAAATATTGAATTAACAAACAATCTACCTATGTATCTTGAAAAAAGAATAGAAAAAAAGAATGTGAGTAGAAAAAGAAAAAGATTAACCGATAGTAAAATTCTTCAAGAGAGACCGTGTTGTACATTTTATTCTTCACTGACATTAATACAAGTTTATATTCAAACAGATTTTTCGATAAAAAGCAAAATGTTTATTTCAGAAACACAGTATATTGATAACACGCTGCTTTTGTCAACAGTGTGTAAAATAGCGTGTATTTGGCATTTAGCAAGGATTTCGTACATTTTAATTCTGCAGTGTACACTTGCTATTCGGATCCTTACTCATGATCACTTGTATTTTTTCGAGAAAAAATAACTATGAAGATGGATAAGTCAATAAGATGAATAGAATGAAGATAATGGTACTAGTGATGACAATCGTTTAGACCTTTTAGAGATCAGTTGATATATGACTTCATGATAGTTAAGTTTGTTTGACTATAAGCATATATCGATTGAAATATAATTACAAGCGAAATAGTAGACATTAGTACGCGTGTGATGACTAAATCTTAGAATAGAACACATCCCATTGGTGGACATTATGCATGCATCAGATGATGTTGCGATTTAGACAAAAATAAACAGTGGTTTTTCAACTATTTAAAATTAAAAAAATCGAAAAGATTGACAATAGCTGATTGATGTTATATATTTATGTTAAGTTATGTTCAACTTTAATTGAAGTCTAGTTGAATTCAGAGGAAGTGAAAGAGTTCTTTAGTGTTCTCAATTGAAATCTAGTATGTCGTAGCAAGCTGTGACAAAAAAAAAACTTATCTGTAAGATGATCCTTATTGAGAGGTATTTTTTGGTCGATGTTATTTCGTGAACTTTCAACATGCCAAGAATCTCATTAAACCATCCCCTACAATTAAGTTGATAGTGCTTGTGAAAAAAATTTTAACGAAATCAACTCAGCCAAACTGTGGTAACTTTATCTCGAAAATACGCGAACTTGAGATCGTATTTATAAGTAAGACTGGTATACGGCTTGTCCACGTAACGCGACACTTCGCTGATCAAGTTTTGAAAAAATTTTTTTTCGAATTGGACAGATCTCAGTGGGGTACTAGATGCAGTTTTTTACGCTGATTACGAATTTGGTATTCATTTTGTATAAAAATCAGATTTTGATATCGAAAACTGGATTTTAAAGTTTTCAAAAACCGTATTTTGGATTTTTTGACCAAGAAATTTTTTCAACAAAGGTCAAGAGACATACCATTCGATGCAGAATTAAATTCTCTACAAAATGGTCTATTTAGTTTTGACTTTGGCAGCTTAGAACAAATTGGAGACTTCGATACAATTCCCAACTTTCTGCTCAGTTTATGAGCTCTCAGATCGATGTATCAATCTCATTTTTGCATAGGGGATTGTCTACATAGAAAACAGTAACACTTATAAAAATCAAGTCATTCTGAGTACATTAAGTGCCTCAAAATTGGTCAACAAAAAACTGTGTAACAGCGTTACGAAAAATGTAACAGCGTTACGTTTGTTTTTTGCATTTTTTATCTGAGCAAAAATATTTTAGAGAAAATTTCTTTTACTGCCTGAAAGCCTATTCAATGCTCTACAAAAATGACTCTCGGAGCATTACATTTGAAGAAATGGTTTCGCAAGAATTTAGAGTTTTCTTGGCGGCACTGGAAAAAAAGGGTCCTTTTATGTAACAGCGTTACGCCATGATAAAACCTTTCTAGATGCCTGAGACTTCAGTCAAAAAAGGCCATTTTTATACGATAAATAAAGTTCGATAAGCTGCGTCGAATGACGTTTGAACAAACTTCCTAGCTCTTAAACTTTTCGAGATAGTTGAAGAAGAATGTGTCAAAAACGTAACAACGTTACGTTTGGACAAGCCGTATAACAGAAGATTCTTCTAACAACTGAATACCAAAAGAACATTACGATGGTGTTGCTTTTGCAGAAATATGCACTTGGTAAAATTTTTGAGAATTGTAGCTTCTGCTGGTAGAGAAATAATCCAGTAACTTTTGCAAATGTCACCAAAAGAAAATGAACCGCATTCGTAAAACTCGTTTTTCAATCTTACTGTAGCGGTTTTGATTACTTAGGACAAGTAAAGTCTATAGGCTGAAAATGTCAACAATATTCTATAAAATGATGCTTTACAAGTTAGATAAGAAGATATTCGAATCAGAGATTCTTGAGGAAGCACCTCTCCTCAGTACTGGTTCGTACTGCTTATGCAACTACACATATATGTGCGATGTTTACAAGAATTAAATAGTTATTTAAAATGAGAACTATTTCATACAAATCTGTTAAAAAGCTTTCAAATACAAGCCCTTGGACTCTGAGTTGGAACACTTTTTTCTAGGATGGTCGAATACTAGCAGTATGACTTTTGCACGAGCCGCACACACAGCATCGGTACTAACTAATGGAAAAGTCTTAGTTGCTGGTGGATTTGAAGCTAATGGTAACGCGAATACTGCAGAATTGTACGATTTAACAACAGGACTTTGGTCAAAGACTGGTAACATGAGTACGTGGCGTATCTATCACACAGCATCTCTACTAAACAATGGGAAAATCTTAGTTGCTGCTGGATATTATTCTAGTAGCTATTTGAACACTGCAGAGCTTTACGATTCAACAACAGGACTGTGGGCAAAGACTGGCAACATGAGTACAGAGCGAACCTATCATGCAGCATCCCTACTAAACAATGGAAAAGTCTTAGTTGCTGGTGGATTTGATTCTAGTGAATATTTCAATACAGCAGAACTATACGATCCATCAACAGAACTTTGGACAAAGACTAGTAACATGAGCATTGGGCGATACTTTCACACAGCAACTCGACTAAACAATGGAAAAGTCTTAGTTGCTGGTGGATATAGTTATGATGGCTATTCGAATACTGCAGAACTATACGATCCATTAACAGGAATTTGGACAAGAACTGGCAACATGAGTATCGAACGAAGCTATCACACAGCATCCCTGCTAAATAATGGACAAGTCCTAGTTGCTGGTGGATATGACTATAATGGCTATTCGAGTAATGCAGAATTGTACGACCCATCAACGGAACTTTGGACAAAGACTGGCAGTATGAATATTGGACGAACCTCTCATACAGCATCCCTACTAAACAATGGAGAGGTCTTAGTTACTGGTGGATATGTTTCTAATGGCTATTGGAACACTGCAGAACTGTATGATTCATTAACAGGAGTTTGGACATACACTACCAGCTTGAGTACTGGACGTTCGTTTCACACAGCATCTGTACTAACCAATGGCAAGGTGTTGGTTGCTGGTGGATATGATAATAGAAATGTCTTGAATAGTGCCGAATTATATGTATGATCATCATGAGACTCAAATTTACACTTTTTATTCATGTCCCTACTATTTACTCTTCAATTATTTGAGAAAGTTTTCATAATGACGTTACACTTCCATATATTCACGATTCTGGTATCCTTTTTCTTATCTCCATATTTTATCTTTCTTGACTTTGCTTCATCTAGCTGTATATTTATACGCCTGATTTATGTGTTTATTCATTACTTCTGAAATAAAGATCTCGTGCAATACAGCCTGTACTCATATATAAATATCAACTATCCACAGAAAGACGAGAAAGAGAAGAATGATGACAAAGAACAGTATCATGACGATAGTCTTACATCTATTTCAAATTAAAGATATCTCTGTAAAAATTTTCCTACTGTCAAGCATCATTTTCTATGATAAAAATGGAAACAATAGTGCGTATATCGCAGTATATAGATGGACGTCATTTGATGTTCTCAAACATTTTATCTACATTATTTGCAGTAGATTTTATTTCATAACTTATCTTATAGAGGTTTTCAATTGAAGCCTGTCGTATAAAAACCACACACATTCAATTTTTACTTGAAGCCAACAGTAAACACTGGTGTGTGATCTATATTTTCTTGAGACATCTAGAATTCAAGTAAATTCTAAGTATGATTCATTATTGCCTGTAGTCTGACAAATCTTGATAATGTATAATCATAGTGCTTATGCCGAAAAACCATATTTTCTAGGCATTCGACAAAACGATTGTTTTTTTCATCTAATGCATATGTCACCAATCACTAAGCAAAATAGAGTATGCACTAGATATTCTAGGTTGGCTTTCCTGTTTTTGGAAAAAACGCATATAAAAAATGATCTAAGGTCCAAGAAAAATAGAGTATTGTTTTTACCATCAGACTGTATTAAAAGAAAATTTTTCAAAACTTTCTATCAGGAATTGAAACACCGCCACTATTTTTGAATTGCTATAAGTATCAGATTCTTCTCTTTGTGACAGTATTTATTCATGCGATTGATAATGAGAAATATATGTGACAAAAAGATTTAATGATATTGGTTGTTAAATAAATTTTCCGGATGAGAAAGGATCACTTCTAATATAGTGTTTTCTTTTTGTATTTCTATTTTGATGCAATGAGAATAACATAGATCATGAATACTGAATATGTTCAGAAAACATTTGTAAAATAATGATTTATTAATATAGAACTTCGTTTTCGGATGGTAAATATTGTTAAACTTCAATGTGTCACATAACTTTGTAATTTATTTATTCATGGATTACTTAGTCATTTCTAATATTCAAATAATATTTGTATAAAATAACTGATATTTGAACATAACACAAAAAGACTGTCGGTACTGACCGAATACAATGTTTGTATGTGTTGATCATCAGTCGATAATTGAATATATACTCTACGATTTGTATGTTCCCTTGACATGTTTTTCAATAAGTAATAAATTAGTATGTAGACTCATTTATTTCTTCTTGAACTTTGTTGTTCAAATTGTGATTGTTGCAAAATAATTTTTCTTGCTCAATGATGATATCTTTGAATGTATTCACTCAAGAATAAATGTTTTAACAGTTAATCGAGGAATTATTCTATCATTATTTACATTTGAAATTCGATTGATTTTTACTTTACTGAATCAATGTTTATCATAATTCAATTTTACATTTGAACTATTTTATGTATTGAGAATCAACATTGTGCAAAATGCTTATCTTATTTAAGTTATTGTTAATATTTGATCTTATTTATGTACTATTATTTTACTGATAACTAAGATCTAATCAGAAGTGTTCCGAACAATGAGAGATGTAGGAGTAACTCTTCATTCAGTCTTGCAAAACTTTCGTGCTTTTCAATCAAAGGCCTTCTGAATCATTGATCTTGTCCTTCAAATCCTAGCGATCTCATAATACCCTTGTATTTAATTAATTATGCTTACTTTTCTAGGAAAAAATCATTTTGAGGAATTAACAAATAATAATTGTTCTCTAGAAAATAGTATGCTTGAAGCAACCTAAGGTTCAAACTTTTCTCTTCTCAATCGATTTTTTGATGATATTTTAATAGACAATAATCTTGTGAGCATTTTTCATTACCATGACACAAATAAAGATGATATTTCAAATCGACGTTAATAACTCTATTGAGTCAAACACATTTCAGAGACAATATTATCTGTTCAAAACTGACCCCTGAGCGCCTATGAAGCAAAATTTTCACAAAAAACGGCAGTAGAGGATCATAAATGAATTTTTCATAGGACGATATGACTCTAAAATATGTTTGAATCAAAAGAATTATTGATACCGATTTCACATGTCATTTTTAATTGTGTCATGACAATGAAGACTGCTAACAATGTATTTCTTTATTGAAAAATCATCAAAATACTAGTATGTAAAAGAGTACTGTGAACATCATCGTATCGCTTCGAAAGTACTATTTATTTTTTTTGAATCTGTTTGCACCATTTCTAGAGAATAAAAATTTGCACAACGCATAAAATTCAGCTTGAAACTCTTTGATTGTGAGTTCCGATAGGAAATAGATTGCTATTTTTTTATTACCTATCAGTATAATTTATAAAACAAATTTGAATGATTCATTGAAATGAAAACAACCACAGGATATGTATTATTGATGCTTTTCATAAGGATATCATAGTATTAGCATTTTCAGACATCAGTACATTGAATGCATAAGAGAAAAAAATCTTTTCTCTATTCAGTACCTCATATATCTAATGGTCTTACGGTCGTCTTCTTATACATTCGATTTAACTTTATATGATCATAGTAGCACAACTATTGCAATTTAAGATGTGAAATCATTGTTTTTATTTTTTAAATAGTATTAATGACAACAAAAAGAAAAATAATATTTGACGGAACTTTTAAAAGGAATTTTCTTTTAAAAATCTGGACCTAATAATAATAATATAATGTGAAAAAAAAATTGAAATGTTTATTAAATATATTTCGAATCTATCTAAAGGATAATTGTTCAAATATGAATTCGATCACAAATGAACTTGTTAAGTTAATTTTGATAAACGTTCTTTTTGTTGTTGTATTTGTTCACGAATAGCTTGTGGTAAATCATCACCTAATTGTCCATCAAGCCATTGTAATGTTTCTTCAATATCACCAGTCCAATATTCTTTTGGTAATGCCATTAATTTATCCCATTCAACATTAAGACCTTGAAGATTAAGTGAACCTTTTTTAGGTAAAAGACCAACAGGTGATTTGTCAGCAACATCTTCATTATTAACACGTCGAATAATCCAATCAAGTACACGTATATTATCACCTATAAATAAATAAAATTAAAAACAAATTAAATAAAATATTTCTATTTATTACCAAAACCAGGCCAAAGGAATTTATTATTTTCATCCAAACGAAACCAATTGACATGAAAGATTTTAGGTAACTAAAATGAAAATCAAATATAAATTTATTTAAATAAAACAAAAATTTTTTTCTTAGTTTTACTTTATTGTTTGGATTCTTTTCAAAATTAAGCCAATGTTGAATATATTTTCCAAAATTATAACCAACAAATGGTCTAAAATTAGATTTTCAAATAATTATATAAAATAATTGTTTTGGTTACCGCATAGCAAATGGATCATGCATAACTTGTTTTCCAGTATGTTCAGCAGCTGCAGTTGATTCTGATTTAAGTTGTGCAGCAAGAAAAACACCATGTGCCCAATTGAATGCTTCAATAACTAAAGGAACACCTTCTGGTCTTCGTCCACCAAAAATAATAGCTGAAATAGGTACACCAGCTGGATCTTCCCATTTATCATGTATAATTGGACATTGACGAGCTGGACAACAGAATCGTGCATTTGGATGACTTGATTTTTTACTTTTATCTTCTCCTAATTTATATTTTTCACCAGTCCATGATGTTATTTCAGTACCAGCTGGAGTTTCATCTTCAAGACCTTCCCAATAAAATCCTCCATCAGCTGTTTCACCAACATTAGTAAATATTGAATTTTTTAAACAAGTTAAAACTGCATTGGGATTTGTTTTCATATTTGTACCGCTAAAGAGAATTTGTTTTTTTTATCTTCTTAAAATTAAAAACAAGCCAAACATTAAAACTTACGGTGCAACACCAAAAAATCCAGCTTCAGGATTAATTGCACGTAATTCACCTGTTTCTTTATCAAATCTCATCCAAGCAATATCATCACCAACACATTGAATTTTATAACCCGGAATTGTTGGTGTTAACATAGCTAAATTTGTTTTTCCGCATGCAGATGGAAAAGCTGCAGCAATAAATTTTTCTTGTCCTTGTGGATTTGTTACTGACATAATTAACATATGTTCAGCTAACCCTATTTAGATTTAAAATAAAAAAAAAAAGAAAATTTTATAACAAAAAAGTTTCTTTTTTCTTTAAATAAAAATATACTAACATCCTTCATCATATGCAATACGACCGGCAATACGTAGAGCAAAACATTTTTTACCAAGTAAACTATTTCCACCATAACCAGATCCAAAACTCATAATTTTTCGAGAATCTGGAAAATGAGTAATCTAAACACATAAACGAAAAAAATATTTCGTTTTTATGATTAAATAGTTTTTTAAAATCATTCTATTCAATGAAGACTCGAAGCAATCAACGTTAGAAGGACAAATATTACTTCCTGCTGGTGGACCACTACTGTTTTTATTATTCGTGAAGAACTACATATACATTGTATTCATAAACTTATTTTTTGTTTTTTTTTTTAGAAACACTTTTAATGTGTGAAACACGATCTAGAAAGTATGTTGAGATATAAGAGTTGAAGTTTGGACTTGTCCCTTGCACAACTCATTATAGACATTATTGATACATGTCTACCGACAATGATAAACGTCTTAACAACACTTCCTTCTCTATGTCACAGACATGTTTTAATCATACAGACATTGCACTAACGTGTTGCTTTTTAGTAATTTGTTTTTTTTTTTCTTATATTTC